CGGGGCAGGGGGATTGAGGGGGCGGGGGCGGCGGCGGCGGCGGGCACTGCCTTCTCGGACGGTTCGACTCCAATCTACCAGGATGTGCTGTTCGGTGAATATACCGCACGAACGTGCGGTGCAACTCCTTACGGCGCGACGTGCTCCGCGCCGTCCGATCGCCACGCGGCCACGCGCGAGCTCTTCATCAGGATGGTGATTTTTTTTTTAACGGGACATCAGGTTGATGACTTTTTTTAGGGTCAAAGCAAAAACGCTTTATTACGCAACCAGGCTAGGCATGTCGCCTAAAACAAGTTCGGCCACAGACGGCGGAACACTGATATCCCATATGGTGGGTTCATTCACATTACATTCGTATCCTAACTTAGCGAGTTCGTGCACAGCACCGTTGGCTTCCCGCCTGCATGCAATAACATCACACTTTGAGAATCATAGCCTCATTTGAATCTTCAGGACGTCCAGGGCCGAGGCATTTGCTGAGAAGTTTGGCTCCTTCCGCGTGAGGGCCGCTGGAGAAGCTGTGAGTCAGTCTCGATGCAGATCCGGATCGCTCCAAGATGGGCGGCCAGCTCCATCTCGCCCTCAGCCGCTCGTAGTTCTGCTGCGAAAGCATCATGGACATGCTCATTCCTTCCTGCCATGCAAGCTACTGCATCTTCATTGAGGTCACGTGCAATCACTCCCACGCAGATTGAGAGCTTCCTGGCATGTGGGCACCATCAATGTTAAACTTCAGTACGTCCGCTTCACGCGCCTGCCATTTTGTCTTCTCCTTTGGAATATGTCGCTCTTGCTTCCCCACAATTTCTCAGTATTTCATGGTGGCTAGCTTAGTCCCGTGCACTATCTCCTCTGGCCGACTTCTGCCTTCGTTCTTCTTGACCCGGTTTCTGTCATTCCACTACTCCCACCAGAAGTACAAAATCTGCATTCTATCCTCCATGGTGATCCACGGCCCGGCCAAGCTCGCATCAGGATGATGACTTGGTGATCCATGGCCCGGCCAAGCTCGCACTGAAGCAAATTAAACGGAGTACAACCGACCGATATATGATCCATTATTTGTTTTCAAAAACAAAATGCGAATCGAGGGTAGCTCAGATGGTTAGATTCTTGTGAAACCCAACCCAACAAGGTCAAGTTCTAAACATGACGCTAGTGGTCGCATTTTTTGAGTTTTTATTTGAAGACTTCCAACGGTGTGCATTCAGTGAGAGAAGATATTCCCATTGATTACGAAGACGTCTATGACGACTTCGTCAGTTATACAGGCCGTGCAACCTTAAAAAGAAAAGAAACGAAATTGCATAGAAATATCTTCTTCTTTATTTCAAATCAGCCATGCCGCTCCATCACTACTGGTAGATGTAAAAAAGGGTGATTGGATTAACCTACCCATCAACAACGTATAAAATTTTAGAAAATAAGATAACCAATCTAAAAGATACTTCCCCCGTCTCAAAATGTAAGATCATTATGACAATGTCAAAAATGATCTTACATTTTGAGATAGAGGGAGTACATTTTAGTAGTATATGCTTTCTATTTACAGTAACACCAATAATTTCCTTTGGTTCATATATGTAAAATAGAAGACTAGTTAACGCATGAATTTTATAGACTTAGATGTTTGGTTCACGGGAATAGAAAAACACAAAAATTCTAATATACAAACTCAAATCAAATTCAAACCACTCAGAAAGGCACAATTAGCATGTTATTATGCCACTAAGGATCTTAATCTCATTATTCTTGCGTAGGAATTTGAGAAGGAGATCCAAGTATATTGTAAAGTTCCTACATTTTTTTCCTCAAATTGACATCAAAAGAAAATTTCTTCCATTTTTTCCTTTGCTACATTCCTTTGAACCAAAGGCTTCAATAGTGTCACCATAGAAAATTTCTATTCCTATGTGTTTCCTCCATTTTTCCTTTGAACCAAAGAGGGCCTAAGTTGTAGTTATAAGTAGAGATGACGCCCCGCAAGTTGCAGCTGGAATTGGATGTGGTTATTTTTATGAGATTTTATGGTATGAACTTTTAGTATTCCGATTAGCAATAGCAGAATTGGAATTAAAGTACATATAATATACTATATTTGATTATACATTTGCAGAACATTTATTTAATATAAGTAGCATGCATGATGCATGTTAGGTGGGTTTCTTCATGCATGGTGGCATGATGAGTTCGCATAGTTGCATGAATAAAGTATTAAATTTAGTGGGGCATGTATAGTGGCATGATGAGTTGGCATAATTGCATGTCAAAATTATTGAGTTAGTGGGGGTGAAATATTTATTTATAGGTATATAGGATTCTTTTTGTGGGGGTTCTGACTAGTTGTGCATGTTAATTTATAAAAAAATCCAAGGTCGATTCAATGAAACAACATGGGGGTAGCATATGTCAACTCTTCTGCCAGTCGATCGGATAAGAATATCAAAAGACTCGAATATGCAATTCTGCTCTCGAGCTCACATGCACTCAAGTGATCGACAAATTAAAAAATACTCCAGAAAAATCTGATCTACCTGGACAAAAAGAAATCTAGAAGTTAAGTTAACAAATCCAAAAAGTAGACTCTAGTATATGGTTCATGCTTACTATAATATCAATAAGTCGTTAGGTTTTTTTTTATTTTTGACCTATTAGGGATCTAGGGGTTGTTGTCGTTGGTTTAGAAAGATGTGGATTGTTTCTTTGCTACTAGATTTGCACTTGGGTAGTGGGCTTGTTTTTGTTCATATTTGTGTTAACTACATGCGTGGCATAACTTAATTATGTTGAATTGCCCCAATCCATTGGTAGCTTATTTTATGGGACCTCATCAAGAGGGCAGGTTGCTCTTATGATTTCATTATAGACAGATAGCTGGCCTGATTTATACAAAAAAAAAAACAGGTCAAAAATCACGCAGTGGCAAGGTTAACTATGGGACAATCATGCAAAAAATACATCGATGAACGTGACCAACCCCTAACCAAAACTTGACTCCATCACTTAACGCAAACCAAACACCGTGGGTCAAAGAGAACCAAGAAAGGAGTGAAGAAGATCTTTGACAACACCTACATGGAGTAAATAGAGTCTTCCAATAATTTTTTCATTACATGTATTTTTCAAAAAAATATGCATTTTTTATGCTTGCAACAAATTTTAATTGATTATATTTAATCAAAGATGTGTCTTGCATGTGCACTAGTACTAGTAAAAATAGCCAAGTACTAATCAAAAAATAGCTAAGCCACCACCTTTTGATATTCACAGTGAAAAAATTATAAACCCTAGTCGTCATCTCAATCCTTTTGACATGCCTTCTTTATGTCTAATCTCACACCACACAAACTAGCCCCTGGTCGATAGTTCTGAGCACATAATAGTTGTTTCATACACTTTCCTTGGCTACCAATTTAGTTTAGGTATTTTTCTTATTTTGGTTCTCACACAGATTTCCAACTCCTGGTGTATTTTTCACGAGCTTTTTACTATATTTATTCAATTGATTTCATGTCCGAATTTTCACAATAAAAGAAAACTCTTCTAGAAACTATTACTCCTTTTGTGTCATGTACAGTTGTGCAAGATAAGTGCATATTACACCATGTACTATGACCTAGCTTTAGCTTTACCATTGAGTTCTAAAACCGGTTATGAACTGCTCTCAAATTTGTTGTTAAATATTATAAATCCAAGGTAGTTATCATACAATTTTGTCATCTATAATTTAAATACAAGTTTTACAATCATGCGAGTAGAGTTGTATTTTTGGGATGAGCGTTGTATTAGTATCAAGTTTATCTTAGAAGTTTAAAACTTCCCTTCTTAGAAAAGGAAATGGAAAAAACCAGAACCACAATATTGTCAACAAATTAAACTAGGTGAAATAGAAATGCGATAGTATGTCTTTATGTGTGCGCACATATGCACATACTTTTATAATAACTAGAGATATATCCTAATGACTACGAGTTTAGTAACTATCCTCGTAGAGATATGTAAGGGACGATTGTATTCCTTAGGTGCTTTCAGATAGAGAGTTCTCGAGTGTATGAGTTGTCAAGAAGTGGTCTATCCACGAATTCTTTCCTCGTGTCATTTTTCTAGAAACACCAGTTACAACATGTATGCAAGCACAGACATTCACAACACCACACATATGCACTCCTCCAATTTTATAGAATACAATATATGTTAGGCTTGAAGATCGATGAAATCATGGCAAGGGTCTCATTATTACTAAAGAAATAATCCAGCTTGGCAAGACATGTATAATACTAACTCTATAATTTTTAGGCTGATTTGGCATTACATTGCATTATGATAATATTGTTTCTTCAACTAGCATCACATATTACCATTTTCCTAAAAAAAAAATTGCTCTCACAACAAATTAGGGCATGTATAGTGGTAGGGGAAGCATTATTCTCCTATGTGTTCTACATGCATCTAGAGAAAGACAATAATAGTGTTTTATCCTGGTATCTCAGTTACAACCAAATCTCGCATATTTCACATAAACACCCTAAATCTCGCATGAATATTAAAGTGTGTGATGACTAAAATATTCTATACCTAAATAAGTGACTCCCACTGCCTTGTTTTCCCTAACGTTCCCTTAAGCCATGTCATTTCTTTTTCTTTTTCCTGTCTGGCGTGTCTTTCTCTAGTTCCCTTGAGTTAAGTGTTCCACAAGGCTCTAACAGTATAAGTGCAAGATTGAATGAAAAATATATGATACTCCCTCTGTTGGGGATATTACTACTGGACATAAACCGGCCAGGAGAGGCCGGGTCATCCCTATGATGATTACTTTATTTGAAGCCCAAGAAGACAAAAGATGGTGGCGCTTCATGAAGGCCCAAGGCTAAAAGGCGTGTTAAGGCCTGTAGACATAAACCGACATTGATATGTAACTTGTATTGTAAGATAGAAGGAATAGAGACCGAGCCAGACACGTTTATGATCCGGCCTCGGGATTCTGTAAACCGACGGGCGTCGACCTATGTATATAAAGGGGCGACCCGACGGCGGTTTAGGAACAACACATAATAACTCGAGAGCCAGGCAAAGCGGATTCGCTCCCTGGTCATCGAAACCCAAGCGATTCCATCACAACTGGACGTAGGCTTTTACCTTCATCGAAAGGGGCCGAACCAATATAACTCTTGCGTCCCTTGTCCGCTTTAACCCCTTTAAGCTAACCCGTCGTGGTGGTTGCACGACTAAGCCCTTCCACGAGGACATCTGCCGTGACAAAAACACGACAGTTAGCGCCCACCGTGGGGCTATCGCACGATGGTTTCGAGTTCTTGAAGGGCAACTTCGAAGGACTCAAGGGATACATTGTGGGCCGGATGACTAAAAGTCGTCGCGGCAAGCTCTACATCGACGATGCTGGATGGAGTCCCGAGGCCAGCTCAATTGAGTATGGGTACCGGGTCCCCTTTGGTGGAATTCACGTCTTCATCGGCGAACCGGGCCCTGAGCCGGACATCTGCACCGACATCATCGAGACGGCTCAGCGTGCAAGGTCTTCCCAGGTTCAGCCCGCCGTAAAGCATGCCTTCGTAGGTGTCATCCATGGAGCGGAATATGAGGATAGATCGGCATCTGGTGGCGAAACCG